CAAGTTCTGAAGTTATTACTGTAACTCTGTGTTTTTTCTCACCGTCAGTTAATAGGAATATGGTATATTAGTGAATGGATAGCCACAGGCAAACCTAAAGCATTCCAGCTGGTGGAACTGGGCCCAGGGAGGGGCACTCTTACTGATGATATATTACGGGTAGGTGAAAACTGGTATTAATATTCTCTATTTCTGGCTTTATTCTGTGGCTATGCTGAAATCTGAAGGAATGAGGTTTTGCTGTCGGGGTTTAACCTTCCCTAGTAACCACATCATTTCAGTCAGGAGACTTGCAGCTTAGAATCTAATTAGAATATACACAAGTTTCTGCTATTCAGCAAAGGGACCAGGTCTCCGAGTTGAAAGCAGAACACGGGCCAGCGTGTGCACACTGCACAGACACACGTGTAATCCTTCAAACACTACTTGATGGAAGGGGAGGGCAGGAATAATCCATTAGAGATTATTTCTGTATAGGAAACCATTATCCAAACTGAAAACCATTTAGGAGGGTGCTGCTGTGTGTAACTGGGAGGGTGGCCTCAGTGCAAGCAATAGGAGGAAGGGGAGGAGGAGAATAATACAGGAGTGAAGTTGTGTCAGTTCCTTTGGGGATTTCAGGAGCTTATTTCTTTTGAGTTAACCCTCTCTGATCTATCATGCTTGCATAGCTGTCTATTCATTAAAATCCACTGATTCAAAAACAAATTGCTAATGGGATTTAGTACCTCAGAAGAATTTTTATCCTATTTACATATGTTAAATGAAAAAGAACTCTAATAACCACAGTGAAATGTAGGATATTGAGTACTTTTTGTTTATGGTGTCTGGGAAGACTGAACCATTTTTCTCCTAATGCTAAACCCGCTGTAGGTATTGGAGGAGCTACTCGCTTTCAGGCTATCGCTATTCTAAATTAGCATTTCACGTTGCTGTCCTTACAACTATATAATGTGTGCCATACTTTGCCAACTTTATTAGAAGCATAGCAGCTTTTATTAAAATTGATGAAGAAATTCCCATTTCCTTCTGGAGGAGCAAAATGCAATCTCTTTCACTGAGACTATTTTGTTAAACGAAAGCCAACTAAATCTTATCTTTAATACAAGTAATGAGATTAAAGGTTAATTCTTAAACCTTTAATGTATACAGCATGTGACTGTGCCTAATAGAATTCATCTGTCTTTCTAGGTCTTCAACCAGCTTGCCTCTTTACTTAGTAAATGTGATGTCTCTGTTCATCTGGTAGAAGTGAGTCCCAAACTCAGCGAGATCCAAGCACTGATGCTGACAGGGGGGAAAGTGCAGTCAAACCCCGAGGACAAGTCTGCTTACATGGAAGGCATTAGCAAGACTGGAATTCCCATTTTCTGGTACAGAGACATTCAAGATGTGCCGCCAGGTAAGGAGCTTGAACGTCTTGTTACAGGGATGGCGTCCTTCCTCTGTTTGCAGCTTTTGATAACTGAGGGTGTCTCTGTTAGCCTTCACAATGGGTAGAAAAGCAGTTAGTATACGTGTTAGCTCCTACTTCCTGCTACCTATTCTGACTGCCTTCATTTTGGGATAGCTACCCAATTTCATATATTGACTTTTTTTTTTTTCCATGGGAAACCATTTACTGGCTTTGCCTGAATCTCCTTTTGCAAGATACCCATCTAAAATTCATGGACTGGAAGCTATAGCTAGCTGTAGAAATGCTGTCTTTGATGTATCCAAGCTGGAAATAATGACAATTATTTCACAACCACATTAACTAGCTTAATTCATTAACGTTCATAAACATTTTTCATTTTCAAGCAGAAGCTGCTGTGGAAGCATTAATAATTTAATGTATTCTTTTTTACCTTCCTGCAGGTTACAGCTTTTACCTAGCACATGAGTTTTTTGATGCCCTGCCAATACATAAGTTTCAGGTATGGCAAGAAGATTATTGTAATTGTGACCATCTGCTTAAACGCCTTTTCTCTTTGAGGAAGAATAGAATTAAGGTGCCAAACTAGACACATGCATCGTCTCTGGTGATAAAACATTTTTAACTGAATTTGGACAAATGAGGCTTAATTCAGCTGATAACTGTAAAATTAGTAATTGTTCTTGAATGGAAAAGCTTGTAGAAAGCTAAAGCTTGCTTTCTGCTCAGGTAAGTCAAGTTTTTTTATTTCTTCTGCTAGATTAATGAAGCTTTTAATTTTCACGTTTTGTTAGTAGGGGTACATAAAATAGACTGAAGGGCTTTCATTTGAAGGGTAAAGAGAATAGCAAAATAGAGGCTAGTTAGAATTCAGAAGAAGCTTGCAACTTCAATTTGATAATTAGCTTATGAAAATCACTGGTAGAATAAAATATTTTATTTTGATATGTTGCACTATCAATAGAAGAGGCGGCATTTTTCTCAATGGCATCATTCAGTCCTTTTAGGTATAGTTAAACCTGTATTTGTTGACTCTGCAGATGAGTCTCTACCACAAGCTTTTTCCAAGGCAGTTACTGGAATTAAATAGGAATGAATAATTGTTATTAATAGCGTATTATGTTCTTAAAAGGACTGTGAAAGTGCTTGGTGCATTAGTCCAATCAAATAAACAGGATACTGTTGTACCCATTAGAGTGTAAAATGAGTACTTTGGGCTCATTAAACAGAGAACAGAGAAAGGCTGGCGTGAAGTGTTGGTCGATATAGATCCAGAAGTTCCTGACCAGCTGCGGTTTGTCCTGTCACCATCCAGTACCCCCGCGACAGAGAACTTTATTCAGGTAAGGCTATGCCTACCAGAGTTTGTACTTACATATTTACTGACTCTTTCAAGTACATTTACTGCTTTTCAGTTACTTTGACAGCAAGAGGAGGGCTCTCAATCTGTAAATGAGTAAATACAACTTACTGTTTACATTCTGCAAAACTTCCACAAGCATTTAACTTTGTACGCTGCAAAAATATAGCACAAAAATAAACATGTACATCAAACTTTGCAAAATGAGAGCTTAAACAGACAAAACGCTTCAGAGAGCAAACTGAGGCAGCAAGTGACAGGGAGGGTTCTGCGTTGCATGTGTCAAATCACCACCTCGACAGTGGCCCTGCCTAAGCCAGGCTCTCAACCTGCTGTGTACGTACTCGGTGCAGCTGGGTACTTCTGTGCTTTACTGACCTTTAATGGAAAGTGTCTAAGATGGTTTTTTTCCTAAAATTCACTGGATTCTTAAAGTTACAAAATGAAGTAGTTGAGATTAAAACCAACTACAGATTTTCACACAGAAAGGCCTTTTTGAAGGGCGCGTACAGCTGCAGAGCTATTTTCATTCTTTCAGTACCACAGTAATGCAGTTTCGCCTGATGCAGGTATTCTTACTTGTTAGGAAAAATTTCATTTCACTTGACTATAGGTTATAGAAGAGATGACCGAAATCCAGCAGTCAGAAAACACTAATTGAAAATGACCGTTAGCAAAAACTAGCCCAAGCTCTAGGTAGCCTAGAATACACCCCTGGACCTCTGCGCCCCAGTGAAGTGACAACACTCCCAAGACGTCAAGCGTGAAGAACTCTTGCCCTGTACTTGTTTGCTAATCCAGGTGTTTTGATCTTTGAACTCTGCATTAGCCTGAAGAAACGAGAGATCACGTGGAAGTGTGTCCTGAGGCTGGTGCCATCATTCAGAGGCTTGCCTGTCGTATAGAAAAGGATGGTGGGGCTGCACTGGTTGCCGATTATGGTCATGATGGAACCAAAACCGACACTTTCCGGGTAAGACACTTACCCTGAAATTAGAAGCCAAAATACTCTGTTATTTTTTATTTGTCACTTGGATCATTAGGTTCTTGTAAGAGAAAGGTCTTGGGTGGACATAATAGCAAAAACTGCATTATGCTGCAATCATAAAACTGAGGAATTGAGTTCTTACTTAATCAGTACCCAGAAGGGTTTCTGTCAGACAGAAAGGATAATCTGAGCCCTTGCTACATTTATCTCAGATTTCCAAAATACGATTTGCTATTCTCACCCCTCACGCACAACTTAGTCTTTCCTAGTCCTAGCTACGATAGCTAGGGGTACAGCTGAGTATAATCTTCCTATTTAATTTTTCAGGGTTTCCAGAATCACAAACTTCACGATGTGCTGAGAGCTCCAGGTACAGCAGACCTGACAGCAGATGTTGATTTCAGCTATCTTCGAAAGATGACACAGGGAAGAACAGCCACATTAGGCCCCATAAAACAGTGGGAGTTTTTAAAAAACATGGGCATAGACCTCCGATTGCAGGTATGATAGTGTTTACAGGTACATAAACTCTCCTAATCCACAAGCAATACTCTTAAGCAGCAAGAGAGCTTTTATAAAAAAATCTGATTTTTAAAAGGAAGTTGTTCAAAACAGCATGTAGGCGTGAGATCGAAGAGTTGCTTCTCCTAGACATAAGTTACTCTGGATCCCTCAAAGTAAACTGATTATATTTAGGAGTATTTAATGCAAAATTTTGCTACATACATCAATGTATGAGCTCCACCAGGGATCTCACCAGTTCTACTGAACATTATGGCACTGTTACATTAGTACAACTGAAAAGGATGCAACAGGAGATTGCGGGTATGAGGGAATTTATAGGAAAGCAGGAGGGGCTATAACCTACATTCTTTTTTTTCTTTTTAAGGTGCTCTTGCAGAATTCACGTGACACAGCAACTCATGAGCAGTTACTTCACAGCTACGATATGCTGATGAATCCCAAGAAGATGGGGGACTGTTTTAACTTTTTTGCCCTGCTGCCTCACCACAGACTTGTACGTCCTGACAAGAAACAGAAGCCAGAATCAAAGTCTCCCTTACCACCTGTTGCTGGATTTGGTGAACTCTTACTGAAGTAATTTCAAATACTATAGCAAAATGTCTGATAATAGTAGCTTTCAATAGTAACTTACTAAATTAAAAAAAAAGTAAAAGGAAGGGAGTCGTGCATTTTATGGTTTCACATATGAAATGTTTTGCAATAATGTAATCGGCATATAGCTACATACGTAGTAAGGTAAGAACTAAATATTTTGATTTATCTTTGAACTGAAAGCACATGAAACGTCACGTTACTTCTCCAGGCGATTTTCTCACACCAATCTACGCTTCAGGGCCTAGCCACATTTTGGTAGGGAGTGCTATTTCAGAGTAAATCTAGTGCGGCACGCTAAACCTACTGACTGACCTGCGCAGTATGTGTAGAAATCAAACACTGCACATACAGAAACCAGCATACACAGAGCAGAGAAACAGTATTTCAGGGGTCTTACAATAGAGCCGAGTGAAGTATTTGCTAGTGGAATCAAGTTAAAACTTCTCAGTAACAAACAGATGTGCTAAGGAGACTTTCAGGGCACTCAGCTTTGGTACTTGCTTAAAACACAAGCTGCCTTGACATTTTTGAAGATACTTTTATAAAGAGAATGGTGGCAGGAACCATGCAAAAAGAGTTATTAGTTCCAAAGCACCTACTAACAGAATTCCCACAGCAGGCCATAGCTCATGACAGATCCACAACCAAGGACGCATAAAGAAACACTTACTTCTAAGCACATGTGAGAGGAGAGAGAATTCACGTAAATAAAAAGAACAAGTCTGATAGGGAAATAAATTTTATTTTCAAGCTTATCAGAGGATATTTACAAACAATGGGATGTATAAAAATATAAAAGTACTTGACAGTGTCCTTTTGAGGCTATAAATTTTACATGAGCTTTTTTCTAGCATCATCATAGCACTATTTCTTGAATGAACACAACTTAATTCATCTAGGGATATGGATATGAAACACTGTAACCTACTGCTGTCAAAGTCTGCAGTAAAGGTAGAAAAAAGGGAATAAAAAACTCAGCTATTTTTACTACTCTGAAGAAAGTTTACTCCTAATGCATGTCTGATTTTTTGGTTCCTCAGCTATTAGCTGCTTGTGGCTTCTATTGTCTGGCCCCGTAAGTCTGCGTATATGGTCAGGCAATCTCCTCCAAAGGCCAACAGCATTATCTATTTTTTTTAATACAACTTGAAGAATAAATAGCTCATATAATAATTTTGGAGCAGAGCAGACTTCATGGGGAGAGACATCAGCCAGGCCTTCTACTTCATTGTTGTCCCCTCCTTCCTCTATTCCTGTTGTGCTTTTTCAAGTGACCAAGCTGGCTTTTTGACTCTCTTAAAACAAACGAAAAAAACTCACCCCACAGGAAAACCTGAAGTGACAGCCCAAGTATAAAATCTGAAGTTTAAAACCAGACTGTATCTACATTATTACAATTAGGATGGAAGATAGCAATGGCTTCACTGAAATTTGGTCACTTGAGCAGCGGAAGTTGCAAAAAGCACTGCTTCCCTTGCCAAGCCTGGGCAAATACTAGACTACCAGCTTCATAGGCGATTGTTCTGGTTCCAAAGATGAAAAATAGTGCCTCTCTGAAGAATCAGTCCTGAAACCCTGCCTTAACAGGATGGCAGGGTTAAGGCACAAATTCTGCCCCTTCTGAATTCCTTTGCACTGCCCTGACAGCATGGAAGGGGGAGGATGACCCCCAGTGTAGGAGGGGCAGGGACTGCCATCAGGCAAGTCCCCTGCACAACCCTGAGGAAAACACGTGCTAGGAGAGAGGACACGTGGTGGTCAGAAGGGCTGAAACGCTCTGCCCACTGCTGGCTGTAGGAAACTGCCATACAGATTGCACCAACGTTTTGTACAAAGTTTGGTATATCCTACCAGGGAAGCCAGAGTTCAGCCTTTACCAACTTCGACACCTACAAAATTCAGTGGCAGTTAGATAAAGGGCAGGAGGAAAAGAAAAGGTGGGTTAAAGACCCAAACCTACCTGTGGGTACATACTTCTGCAACTGCCACTGACTTTACTGCCAGGTCACTGTCATTGCAAGCAGCTGCCAGCCCTGAAATAACCTTGTAAAATTTTATGTATATCTAACAACATAGAAAAAGTCTGCTCACCTGCTTCCTTACCTGAATAACAACAGTAGAAAAAAATACTTATCTACACACACACACAAAAAAAATATCTTTGTAGGAGAGAGAGGAGATACCCCAAAGCCTCTCACTGACTTTGCAGTTCAAGCCTGTATCAGTATTTTAAAAAGTATTTGAAACCAAGCTCCAGTTAAGCAGCTTGGCACATCAGGGATATGTACAGCCACCCAGCACCTTCTACCAGCACAATGCTGTTATCCCACACAAAAGGAAAGATTTCACCTTTTCCATTTTTTAAAATAGGACAAAAAAATCCCTCTTCCATATGCATTTAGCATTCGTGGCCTCAAACTTCTTTGAAATACCATGAACTTTAACTGTCACACTGTCCTCTGAGGGAATCGCTTCCAAAGAATATTGCTGCTTCCTCTCTATTGTGCCACAAGTCCAGTAAGTGGTTGGGAATCCATCAACTGAGGCATCTGCATAAAAAACTGAATTAGGAGTTGGTTTTGGACTCTTCATTCAGCTCAAACAATAACGCTGAGCACAGTAAAGAGGACGGGAGGGGCTGCAGCTTAAGGTCAGAAGGCAAAGCCCTTTCACCCGCAACCCAGCCGCCCTGGCAGAAGCAACAGGTGATTTGACATCCACTGTCACTCCTAGGTTTTGAGCAGAGTTAAGATACAAGCTAGCAGGCTACAAACTACTCCTGATGTAAGTCCAGGGAACCTTAAAAAAATTAGAAAAATATTAGAAAAATTTAAAAGTCTAATTACTCAAAACAACAGAAGAAAGCTGCATGTATTTTTCCCTATTCTTCCACATCCTTCTGCTAGAAGCTGTTTTTCCAGAGTGAAAGGATATGCTACATCAAGTCTTGTGTGCTCGCTGTGCATTACTTGTGTAGTTTTAAGGCCAAATGCCTTTGGCGTTTATCAATGACGTGTGCCAGCCTTGCACAGCAACACACTGTTGTGGCTTATTGCTCTGTTTTAACAGACAAAATAAAGGACTAGCATAGCTTTGATTGTCATCTCTTTAGATTGTCAGCCAGCATTTCAAGAGGAACGTAAAAAGTTACGGGGTTTTCTTTTTTTGGGTATCTGAAAAAAGTTCAATTAGGGCAAAGTCACACATATTTAACTGTCTTAACAGCAGCAAATTATTCCTTCATCTATGAAGCTGTATTCAACTTAAACCACCATGTTTTGCTGTTAGCCAAGGTATTCTGCACTGATTTCTTTTTACAGTCTCTTTTCACCATGCACAGTTTAGGAAACGGGAGATGTATCTAAGTAACAGAAAACAGTCCTCTACAGCCTAGTAAATAGGGATTAGAAAACCATTACAAAATTCTTATTGTGTAGGCTATGGAAAACACCCAAAACAAACCAACCTTGAAGAACACACAAACCATTCAATCTGTACACATTACACCTCAGTAATGGCTCTGTAGCCACACAGCTTGGCAAAACGTTACCACTGTCCAGTAACTGCTCATAGTTTAAGTCAGAGATGGAGAAAAGCTTGTCAGACGACAGTCTATTCCCACGTCAATGCAGGATCCTCTGGGGCTTTGTACACTGAACTATGTGTACAGCATTCAGAAAGAGCAACAGCTGTTCCAAAACTTATCTTCAGTTTCTGTCTGGAGCGTCCTTCTTTGCTGCAATTTAGCATAATGAATAAATCAAGGGTCTTCTTCCATGTCATCTGGATTAGGAGCCATAATAAAATGCTGGGGGTACTCAAGGTTGTGTTCATAAGCATGCTCTTTCCAGCGTGCATCGTCACTCTCATGGGTAATGTAACGCTCTCCAATGCGTGTTTCAAATTCTCTGAGGTCAAGCCAAGTCTGATAATCCTAAGGAGTAAAAGAGATTTAAGGAAGCAGTTTAAGAAACAGCAGCACTACATTCCCACAGATAAATTCTGCAGTTTGTCTCTACTTTTAGTATAAATAGCCACATGATATAATCAACAAGATCTGTTTAAAAAAAAAAAAAACAACACACCCCCCAAAATACCCCAAAGTGTCCACAAAGAATGGTTCAAAATTAAATAGGCTACTATCTAAGGTTGTAATACTGTAAATCATGAAAACTTTTTGTAACAAGACAGCTATGTTAGCTTTATTATAAAATTAATTGTATATATACAAATACATGAAATTATACTTATTCCAATATTGTTTGTACTTAAAATTAATCAGATTTTCCCCTTAACATCTTTTAAGTTATTTGTGTGCATGGATATCTGCATACAGTATTGTGAAAACATCGTGAAAGGAACCCGGTCAAACAAGCAGATAAATTCCATTCCAAACCATTCCCTTCTAAAATGACTAGAAGTCAGAGCACACCCCAGCTTGTGTGTCCACTTCAGCAGTGAACAAACAATGTTTGCCTCGACACCGATTTCAGTGGGGCTCCACGCACTCATCACTGTCCACATTCAGGAGAGGTGCCAGAAGAGTAAAACTCTGTGTTGGTGTCAGACAGAAAGTGAGGGGCCAGAGAGACAGTAAGACAAAGTTTTCCTTGAGAAGAGAAGCCACTAACAGATGGGCAGAATCCTGGAGCACATAAAATGTAAAGCTAAAACCAGAAATACTCAAGCCTCCATGAATGCTTGTTAACGGATTTGACAGTAGCAGTTCTGATAAGCCTCTGAAGGATTTCATTCAAAAAAAAAAAAAAAAAATCATTATTCACCACATATAAACATAGTGAAAAAGGCAGATAGGTTTACCTGTAACCACGGGTGACTAAGGGATTTGTCAACACTGAAACGTTTTCTCATCTTCACTTGAAGCAAATTGTTTATTAAATCAATGGCTGACAAAGAAGAACAGAACAAAAATTATATTGTTTAAATACTAATCACCTCTATCATCATTCGCATGCTGCAGTGAAAGTAAATTTTTTATGTGTATGTATCCTACTGAACTCTTTTAAACTTAATCAAGCTCTTGAATTTTATATTTAGCTTTGCTTATGTTAAATGAGGCTACAAAATAGGTATGGGGTAAGCTTCCCTCCCACTTTGATGGAAACACTAAAAGCTTTACTATATTACTCGTTCATCTTTTTCCCTACTGATTTCAGTGATTTTCAAAAGTGCCTAAATAACTTGAGCATAATCCTGTGTTCCAAAATGATGTAGGTACTTCCACTATTGTATACTTTTGTGTATGTCCTTCCACATCTATCTGTGTATTAATCATATACACATTACTGATAACAAAGCTGGCATTGGAGAGCTCTAGAGACCAACCTCGTAAACTTCTAGACTGTTCAGACCTGACATTTAGATCCAGGTTTTGTTTCACTTGCTAATGTACAAAACTAAAATTCCAGATTCAACTTTGAACCATTTCTGTAATTATAGTTCAGATAAAGTATGCTTTGAGATCAGCGTTCAGCAAATACTCACACATGATTTAACTTTTCGTTGGGAATTTTGGGAAGTTTCAAGTTATTCATCCCACTCCTCATGCATGCAATTAATTTTTCTTGCTAAATCTATTGGCTCCTCCTGCCCTGAAAATGATCTAAAACATTGTATTTGACAATTTATCTTTCACAAATATATGCCAGCTCATATTTATCCATTTTGGCATAGTCTACTAAACTCAAACTATTAATAATTTTCACGCTCCTATCTGAATGAACCTTGAAGTTTAAGCATTTGAATGCGTTATCTACATATAAAGACATTCTAATAGAGAAAATTCATTTCTTTACCTTCACTAGAAATTTCCTTCCAAGGATTTGGTGGGTACATAAATGCTGCATTTTGAATCTGATCATTTATATCCTCATCTTCATTAAATGGGAATGTACCACTAAGGCTCACATAGACAATAACTCCTACTGACCACATGTCTAGAGAGCGGTTGTAACCTTTACTCCTGAGCACTTCAGGGGCAAGATAAGCAGGTGTCCCCACCACAGAGCGCCTGAAAGATTTTTCACCAATGATACGCGCAAAGCCAAAATCACACAGCTTCACCTGCAAAAGGAATACATTGTAAACTGAGAAATCTCTGCTTGATCCCCGAAGCATGCTACTGCCCAAGACCAGAGTGGTACTTGATACTGTTTCATTTAAACATTGTATGCACTAAAACAGAGACAAAACATTACCTAAGCCAGTCAGTTAAGGTTTTAGGTTGCTGGTTTTGCAGACTGTGGATCAACCATGCTTCAGACTGAGCCCTGAACTGGCCTTGCACAGACTCAGGTCTGAGGCAGTCTGTGTAGTACAGGGCCACAAGTGTGCAAACAAGGACAAAACACTTCATTTCAAACTCAGCTCATTTTCAGAGGCAAATCCACACCCTCACAAGGCACAGAACCAAAATTTTAAAAGCACATGAATCTCAGCCAGACCACATTCCTCTTAATCATATTCCTGAAGCTGGAGGCTTCAGCTACACAGAAATCAAACGATGAGTTTTAGCTAGAACTCAGATCCAGCCAGCTCTGGGCAGAACGGTCCAATAATCATCCAAGTAAAAAGCATCATCAGCTGGTGCCTGCACTGATGCTCAGATCTTCATGGTTCTGGGATGGTTCCTTAACTTGAACACAGCAGACACTTGTACAGAAAAAAGGATCCAGATCAAGTCCAACACTAACCCCAAGTTAATAAGCCCTCCTCAGGGTGTAAGAAAGAGCAGCGCACTAAAGGCATACAAGTGACTCTCCAAAAGTCCACTCCACTTTGCATTAATGTCACAGGACTGGAAGCAATTCCCTGATGCTGCCTAGCAGATTTTAATTTCTCTGTATCCTCCACGAAATCCATACTATCCAAGGTATATAAGGTAATAGCTGACTGGGGTAAGTGTTGACAGTACATAAATACTAGTATTGCTGAACAGCATTTCTCTCACAGAAATTAGCTGTTTAGTTTCTATTACAATATAATATCATACATACTGATAATGAAGATCCCTGAGCAAGACCAGTGACAAATGAGCCAGTCCCTTTTAACAACAGCTCATAAGCAAGACAGACAAAAGCGAGGAGGAGAAGGAGATGTACAACAGGGAAGAAATTGTTTCCCCAGGGTCAAACAGCACTGGAACAGAAACGAGGACTGGTCTTGAAGCTTCTAATCTTGTGCCTTTTCCACTGGACTATTCTCACTGATCCAGAATACCAATTTCCATGCACTCTTCACAAGCATAAAAATAGATGCAGTCTACACAGCCTTTTGCTAAGTGCTGGCAGTAGTTGTACTTCTCAGGCTCCCTGGAATAAAGAATGCTGCTGCACAGCATTGTTGTGAGACATGATCCACGTCTGAGGGGAAAGAAACTGAAACAGACCATTGAGCATAAAGCTAGGCTAAGAGTTGGAAAGGGGAAAAAAAAAAAAAAAAAAAAACAGAGAGAGACAACTATAATACATGTAGTTCACATAATTCTAGACTAAGTCAATTGAACAATACCACAAGAGGTCACCTTTTAAGCTGCAATGCCTATACTTCTTTAAAAAAAGAAAAATGAAAAGTGATGAAAGAAGTATTTTTTAATCTCCACTCACTTGAGGGAATGGCTCTGCTGATGCTAGTAGTACATTTTCTGGTTTTAAATCACAGTGCACAATATTCTTGAAGTGTAAATTCCTCAAAGCAACAAGTATCTACAAAAATGAAAGAACATTTTCAGAACTATTCAAGTGCATCAAAAGTGTCAAAAGCCACACATACTAAGCAATACAGTAATTTGTATCAACACAGCCTTCAAGAATTAACCCATATATGCTGTGCAAGTACTTTTTTTTTCTCCAGCCTATCAAGACTTGGAACTGATGGTTTTGATTTTCCTTTTTTTTTTTTTTCCCCCCCCCCCCCCATCTTTTTGAATGCTTACTGTTTTGACATGCATCTTTGGCTGTCCATAATGTTATGTCTTGGGAAAGAAGGGCAAAAAAATTAACATAATAACACTCAAAATTATTTCCATGTTTATTCAACTTTCATTAGATGTGCATCCGTCTGTGCTGTCTCTTTTAAATAACAATACAGAAAACCCCTTGTCCAAACTCCATTCTCACATAGTTACAAAAGATAAATCTAGCCTTTCCTCTCAAAGAAGAGAGAATGAACGCCAACCTGAGTGACCATGAACTTAGTTATTCGTTCTGGAAGTCGACTTTTCTCGCTGGAAAGAATCATCTCTAGCATATCCCCATGCAGCTTTTCCATCACAACAAAGACCCGTTCCGGGGTTTCAAACATACATTCCAGGTTCACAATCCCAGGGTGGTGCAAATTCTAAAAAAAATTAGTACAGGTACATCACTAAAATAAAACAGTATGAAATATCCCGAACTACACAAAAATGTTGTGCCTCAAATTGAAAAGCAGTTAAGTGGAGAGTTAGAGATGAAAAAAAAATGAATGTCTGAAGCAAGAAACTAGCTTGAAACATAAATGTAAACCCATGAAATGTGCCGATTATCACTACTAAGACTAATTTGTTTTAACACAAATTATCTGTAATGATGAATTTTACAGTTGATACACTCAGTAGCTTGACTACAGAACATGCAAGAATAAGACTCATAGATTGAGGAGCCAGTAGTGGAAGACAGCCAAAAATAATAGAGTTCCCTGCTACCTGCAGGAGACAACATGGAGCCAAAGTACCTGTCTTCAGTGGATCCCCTATAGGGGATAAATACCACTCCCAAGTTATCAGTTCTACCAAATACTCAGGAATTCCCGCTCTTCTAAGATTCCGTCTTACAAAAAGACTCAGAAATCACTTACACTGATTTAGAAATCAATTCAGAGCACTTACACACATTACAAAGTCTTATTAATGGCTTGAGACAAACTCCAACGTGATCCAAAAATACTTTTGTACCTGGAGAATGGCCACTTCATTACGAAGCTGACTTTCCTGTTTAGTTGGAAACCTCATCTTGTCAATGACTTTGATAGCCACATCTCTTCCAGTCTTCCTATGTTTTCCTAAACATAAAGTCAATGTCAGCCATCAAGAGGCAGAAGCAATTCATAGCTATAAAACATTACAGCAGAAATTCCTTTTTGGGGAAACAAGTCTATTTTGTGCAAATGTACAATATTACTATATTTATATTTAAAATTGCAACTAGTACATGAGTAATAAGAAGTGATCAGCCTCAACAGAAGAGTTGTAAATAAATTTAAACTGGTTCCTACTCTGCTGTTAGGTATGCACATTGACATTAGATGTATTAGGTGAAGTTTTCGTTTGTGCAAGGGACTTGCACTTTAGCAAGTAATACCTACTCCCACAGAATATAGCCTCTCCTGTAAAAAAAACAAACAACAAAACTATTCAAGACAAATGTGAAGAGAGATTTACAAGTCTTCTCCAGTGGTTTCATACTTTTATGGGCTCCACATGCACAGGAAATTATACCTAATACTCTACGGGAATATAGGGGTAATTATGTGCCATGAAGAACAACCCGTTAACGCCCAGGAGGCAGTCTGTTGTGATCAAAAAGCTCCAAAAGGTTGTGGTAAGAAATGTGCTGATAGCACCAAATACTATTCCTTGCTGCAAACTGCATCAGCTAAACGAGAAGCATTCTGCAATACACAGATAGGATGTTTCAAGGGCTAAGTGAGTAGCTGTAAATGCTTACCCAGCTTCTCCACAACTGCTGAACTGACTTCTATCCCATTCACATCAGAGAGGTTAATGGGATCACACACTGCAAGATCTCGATAATCTAAGACATTTAATACTAAACTAATATAAAACAATAAGTCTGCACCAAAGGAAAAAAGTCATTATCTGCTCAGTGAAGGATTTGGAAGCCATTTTAGGAAAAGGGATGACACACACAGCTACAGTGTAAGCAGCACAAAGGACTCTACTGGCACTGCTACTGGGAGCCCAGCGACGCCTCACTAACCACCCAGCAAGGCCTCACCTGCTGCTCTGCAGTCAGTGCTGGTGGCCAGGGCTTAGGCAGGGCATAGGAATTGCTCCAAAGGCTGCTGTGCCAGGCAGCTAATGCACCTGCCTTAAACAACATCACGAATAAAGGGTCAAAACCAGGCTTATCTCCACTGGATGAAAGCAGGCAGGCATCACTCAAGGTCCAAAAGGGTTTACAAGGTTACCAAATAGAACTAACAATTGGAGAGCAAAAAATAAATTTTAAAAAGATTACATTAGTCCTAAGGAAAGCGTACGCTGCATAACAGACTGTCACAGACAACAGCATAAAGCCAGAAGTCTTGAAAGAGAGAGATCCAGGGAGTTTTGTCATTTTGTCTGTAACAAATCAACAATTTTTAGGCAAAATATTAGAAATCACAGCACCCGGCTATAATTTAAATAAAACCCTAGACTCAGGGACAGTGACTCTGGCTCCACTAGACATCAAATTAAGTTGAAATGTAGCAGAAATACCATCAATTACGAAGTAGATGAAAAACCCAGAAGACAAATGCTACGTTGCAAGAGAACATAAAACAAAACCACCAAACTAACAAAACACTTAACTACAGAAGCTAGGCTAGAGCTAAAAATTGAACATGAAGAAAGATTAACAGAATAGCAGCTTGAAAATTCCTTTTCCTAAGTAAAACAACCAACCAGGTTTCAGGGCAAGTTTTACATCAGCGAGAAACTGTCAAGAATTTTTTTTTTTCCTCCATTTTTCAGACCCTTCAAAACTAATCAAAATAGGAAAAGCAGAGGGAAACTGTTCTCACTGAAAGAAACAGGGGTTGGATATCAATATCCTATCACTTCTTGATTTACAATTCGTAAAAGTTTGTTCAGAATAGAGGACACACAGACACACACACACACACAAAAAAAAAAAACCACACACAAAAAACCAAACCCCACAACAACATAAGCAACTTAATTTTATCTTTATTTGTTTAAATAAAAGGTTTTGTTACCATTATTTCAGTAAGCCTACACAGATAGGGAGAAGCCAATATTAGAAGTTACCAGGTCCAGTCTCCCCAAACACCAGCAACAATTAAGCAGTGTGCAGAGCCAGCAAAAGAATATTCTTTTATATTCTCTTTTCTTGCTCTTTCAGCTTGTGATTTTATCTTAAGAAACTGAGTATACATACCCTATATATTTTAAGGCATCTTTAAGTGAAAAGATTTAATATAATAAAAGGCTTTTATAAGCATTTATTATGTTTATAACCATTTATAAGCATTGAATCATGAAAAATACCAAGCTGAGATTTATCTAAAAGACAATTTAGGAGAGTATATACAGAAATAAAACCAAAACATCAAAACTACTGTCTGCATTTGTGCATGTTCTATTCATAAGAGAGGGAGCATACTTTGATTCACACTATGCTTTAAGAAATACAGAGGGGAAAAAAAATAGACCTCTCTCAAGAGTGATGTAAATCCAGACCATCAAACTGCATTTCCATCAAGCAGTTCAGAAGTAATAGAGGAAAGTATTTAACTATACAATTGGCACACAGAAAAATCATAGCCACGATACTTCCTGACTAGAAAGACAACATGACAGAAGCAGAAAGGTTACCACTTTTAAATCATTAGTTATCACTTTTTCTTTCTTTCCAGATTTATGGTCAGTGGTTTTCTCAACACTTGAGATACAACACATGGGATTGAAAAAAAGAAAAAAAAAAAGAGAGAAAGAGTTCATATGATGCACTTCTAGTATTTCTTCTTTTTGTGATTACATACTATAAACAAGTTATATGTTGCAATAGAAATTTTTCAAAACTAAGTGATAAAACTACTTTTGAAAACTAAAACTGAGACCTCTTGACAAAGAATTCCTCCCTCTACTTTATCCTGCTGACAGAAATTTGTAGAAAAATTATTATTGACGTATTTTTATGCAAACATTTGCATAAATACTGTAAAAGCATAAAATGTATATTTTTCTAATTGCTTTTGGCCACATCTCTCAGATATCATTAAAAGCAGGTAAACTGACAGCCTCCTTAAATACATGACTTCTAATACTGTATAATACAGACAACAGTGTAAGAATTTGCAATTAAAAAAAAAATTAACCAAGGCCATATTAAGACTAGAGACTGCTTTGTATTTAACTGTGGTCAAAATGCAATGCATATTCTAAACTGATTTTGATGTCAATGCAAAACTCTAAATGCAAAAAATGAATTGTAAGAAATACTGTACATGAAACTGCAGAGACACACAGTAAAGTAATCCAAACAAAATATTTAACAAGATAAATTTCACCTAGACATTCTAGATACAGCTAAGCAAATATGAAAAGGCTAATTATATCAAGCAGACAGACATTCTACCTTAATAAATGCATAATGGAATCTAATGTAGTTTACCTCCATATACAATACCAAACTGACCAGAACCCAGCACTTCATCAGCAAATATTTGGTACACAGAGCTGATATCCTAATGCATGAAAAAAAGAAATCACAAATATCAGGAGTAATCAAAATGTTCATGAGCATATTACTACTGGCTAAGCTGTATTCACATTTGACATTAATCGAGCTCTGTAAAGGGTGCCATCATTACCCTGAATGGAGTGGAAAAACACAACAAACTTTTCCTGAAAAGGATCCACTTAGCTGCACTGTAAGCAGGGACATACATTCATACAAACTAACAGCTGTGCCAGGCAAGGAGATTACTTCCTGTATATAACACAGACTTCTTTAGTTACAATACCCTAGTGTTGCTTTCTCATCCAGACAGTTACTACCACTTACTTTGTAATACCCAGGTAAATAAACACCATTATTATACAATGCATATGACTCACCACATTCTCCTGGACCTGGCAATTTGAAACAGAGATGCTTAGAGATAACTCTTCTGCAATAAAGAAGATATAACTGTGTAAGTAAATCGGAAGGGCAGGCTTTTTCTAGCAAAAAGGGGAAAAAAACAAAACAAAACACCTTTACTGACTTCTAACCCAGTCATGGTGAAACAATTTTTATTGATGTTCTGCAGAAACATCATACCCTGGAACTCAAATTTCACAGATTGATTAGATAACCAACCCTGGGAGTTTTGCTGGGATTATTTGTCTATTTTTGTCATATCACTGATTACAAAAATAGTAGAACAGTACAAGTGTGTACACAATAGAGAGCTGGAGAACCAAAAGCAATAGTAATGTGGCAGTTGTATCAGAGTTCATTAAACTACTAAGAATTTCTGGTAGTAATATAGAACAATGCAGGGAAGAGGACCAGATAGATCCCTTATAGTCAAATGAATGTGGTTGCTGATTTTCTGTGGCATCAAGATATACAGAATTAATGCATAAGAAAAGGAAACAAATCAAGCAAAGCAAGTAACAGAAGACCTGATAATTAAAAAAAGCAATAAAACCCATAACAGAAACAATCTTTGTTTCATGGACAAACTACAGAAGCATATCAATCTTTGGAATATAAGAGCACATCGAGGAAGTGTAATTTGCAAGTAAAAAGCACCAGATAAAGATACAGAATTTTTCAGCCTGCAGCAGATGTTGACACAGTGTTTTCATTACAGGAATAACATGATGATGCACGGACAAGAAGAGATACGTCAAGGAAGGCAGGAAACACCCATTTCCTTTGACTTCCAAGACAGAGGTGAAGCGTCCCAAATGGGCACCTGTCATTTGTTATATTAACTTCCCCCCCAAAAAAAAGTAGAACAAATTCACCTACAAGGTGGATAGAAGATATACTATAGATTTACTAGCACTTTGAAAACAGCCTTTATCACCCTAAGAAGAGCGCTCAGATTTCAGAGAACAAAGAAAATGTCTGTATCTGATTTTTGTCACCTGTGCTTTATCTCAAAGAAGGAATTTACAGACTTAGGATAGCAACAAATACTAGTTCTCAAAGACACTCTAAATCCTCCATCTGAAATATGAACTGGAATTACAGCCTTGCATATATCTACTGATTATTGACTATAGTCAAGTCTATATTGGAATAACAGTACAGAACCCAAGGAAAAACAAGAAAAAAAGCAGACAAAAAAGTTACTAGGGTCAACACAAACTGCAGCAAGGTTGAAACAAGGTTCACTTTCTAGTTAAATACAGTTTTTGAAACTGTTTAAAGAGAACACACTGAACCCTTCTCCACAGATGGCTACAGAATACAAAATAGCTGGTAGGTAGCGACTGAGTTACTCCTTCCAAATAAACCCATTTTTCTAGTGTCTGAAATGCATAAGAATAAGGGCTGAAAAATTGTCACTTTGGAAGAAATCAGTAATGCCAGGATTCAATATGTAATCTATACCAGGTAACAGCTTACTAACCTTCTCTTTCTCATTTCAGCTCAGAAACATCCCACAAAGAAACATCCCACCCCAACCAGCAGGCACAAGGTCAGAAAGGACTCTTTCCCATGGGTCAGACTGGAAGAGCATCCTCATTTCTAGCTACTTTCTGGCTAGAACATGGTATAAACTGACTAGCTAGTGCCTTGTGGACATTTTGACACTACAAATTCCCTGCTGCTGCAAGTATTTCAAGCACTAGCAATGTCTCCCTCCTCTTTCAGTCTTCTCATTTAAAAGAACATATTCGAGGCTTTTGGCTTTTTTTTTTTTTTTAACTAAAAGTGTAATTTTCTTCAAGGCTCTTGGGATACATTTCATGGCTCACAGTCTGTAGGAAGGAGAGGGATGAACGGACATTTTGTGGTTTTTAAACTCAAAAAGCCCAACCTGAGTTGTCTAAGAATATCTGAATGCCACTCTACAACTCATGGTAGTTTCTTATACTCCTACAATCCCAAACATGCTAAAATACTTCCTGTCTGTATCTACCCCCGCAGCTCTATTCCCTACCACTGTCAAGTTTTAATATAAAAATGTTGTTATTTATATCTGAAAAAATATTGATTCTGGAAAAAACAACTGTCTTTGCAAGTCTCTCAGCAACAGTAAGCCTTAGGTTCTAGAAAACAAAGAGAGCTTTGGTATATAGATATTTGGAACTAAGAATTTCATATCGAAAGCGGCATTTTACACATGTGTAAGGCCAGTTATGAGGTGCCATCTTACAGGTATGTTTCTTCACTGTAATTAAATACAGATACCAGTACTGGCATTTCATAGGTTACCATTTCAGACCATGGTTGCTTTTTCAGAAAGTGCCTTTACCTCAGACTAGTATTTACATGTTCTTAACTGTTGCTGATGCAGAGTAGCCAGATATCAGAGACAGAGAAACTAATCTCAGAATCTCCTGCAAAAGAAAACTTCACTAAAAGAAGATCAAGGAGTAGCTGGAAGATGAAAGGAAACTAAAGAAAGCAAGCATAAATCTCAGTACAAAATGGGAATGAATGTTGTTACAAGGAACAAGGAGGTGTCTGAAGAGAAAGAACACAATATATCATTTAGTGGAGCCTTGATAATGAATATGATCCTACGCCAGAGAAAGAAAGGGAGGACAGGTGCATAAAAAGAAGAATAGGGTACTTTTTATTACTACCCACAGCTCAGCAAAAGTTCTTTCCATCACTGGCAGTATTTACATTGCATCACTAACTCCTTTTCTTCTCCTCTGCTACTGACATCTCACAGATTTAAAAAAAAATATACAGGGGATAACATCAAAAAGCATCCAAATTTAGTTCTTTCAGAGTATATGTATATAATCTGAAAATTTGGGGTTTTTTTGAAGTGTATTGGAAATATCTAAACTATGGTCCCTTTTTACATCCAGCAACTATGTGTGAGTTCTTAATGTTCCTACAGTAAAGCTCTGCAATATGCATTTATATTGTAAATCTGATTCTTAGCTACTACTTCCTGCTACAACAGATTAAAGGATTTGCCCACCCTCCACAAACCTGAGTGTCACTTTTTAGAGACTTGGGGAAAATTATGGACCCAATTCAGCAGAGAATAGACAGACAGTACTTCACTCTAAATTAAGCACTTTTCTGAAAGGAATCTCTACCATTAACATCTTCAGAATATGAATAATAGTGCCTTGTTTGCCTGCTTACTGTGATCTTTTCCTTGTCCTGCAGCAGTGCAAACGCTAGCTTGAGGAGTGACTGGCATCAAAGCCTGACGAATGGCTTTCTCCCAGCCCTGAGCTACGTCAAGTCCAACTCCGGTGGCAGCAAGAACAGGACTGTGATGACTGCTGCCATTGTTTTCGCCAACAAAGTACACCATCGTGTCAGTGATGATCTCAAAACAGTATGGGTTGCTGCCCTGCACCACGTTTGAAAAATCTCGAGGCTGAGTCACCTGGAGAATTTCTGAAAGTGGAATCTCCTGAAGAAAAATATTAAAGATTGAAAAATGAAAACGCACATAATATTTTAATATGCTGATATTCAAAACTTAAAGTTCGCAAAGAAATCAAAGCAAATATATCAAAATACCAGAACCAAAATACCAAGCTTCATAACTAATGTCAAACTGTGCATGACCATTGCCCACCCAGTTTTCTAATTCCTCTGTACAAGGCTAGATGGACTTCCAGCCCCACCACACTTCTCCCTATACAACTACCGTTCTCTACTCAGACAAACTGCATTTATATTCAGCATGAGACATGCCCCCACCGCATACAAATGATGCACAACTATGGAATGACCATTTTCCCCCTGTAGTTTATACAGCTTAGCTAGAGAAGAACATGACAGGGGAAAAAAGTGAAACGACAACATTAAGAAGAGGATGTGGTTATATAAGCTGGTCAATAAGCACTGCTTCACGTATCTGAATCATTTTGGGTAGGGATTCTCTTTCATACAGGTATTAACCATTTCTACTGACTCCTCCACCTTGTCAGTTTACGATCATGGTACAAGCAGTACTAGAGAACAGATCTGAAGGAAGAAATGGTTGCAAGTTCACACTAGCTGGAAGAGGACATTCCACATACATGGGAAGGTGTACAGGTGCGCATCACTTGCAAGAGTAGTGAACAAGCAGGTGAACACAGGGCTGGCATTAGGGGGATAAGAGACAGTAGCTGATTAAAGATGAAGAGCAAATAAACGTAAAGGCAACAACTGTGAATGATTCTAACAGCAAAGACAAATAACCTGAGATTTAAGCAGTTAAAAAAAGGGGGGCAAAGGGGCAAGTCAAAGGACTAAAAGCAGTGACGTAACGGAGCAACAAGCAAGGAACATATTTTACCAGCTGTGTTTTGAATGCACAGGGCAATACAAGTATCAGGGAGGTCTGAGAAGAAGAGACTGCATTGGTCAAGATAGGGATGAAAAGGATCTGGGCAAGTTTAGCTGGGTGTACAGAGAAAAGGCTCGATCTTAGAGATGTTATAAAGGAAGAAGCTGCAAGATTTGGACCCCCACCTAAAGGTGTAAGACAAAAAAGGGAAAAATCCTGTTTATACATTCGAACACATTTTCTGAATATTCCACCATTGAACACGTTACTATATTAACAACATACTAAACTTATTGCGAAGTTTATATAACGCTAGGCTGCACAGTAAATTTTCCTCTAAATTTTGCTTGCAACTTTCAGTTGTACAGTTGGGAATAATTTAATTTTGGGAATCTCAAAATAAAATACATAAGCATGCAAACTTTCAGTCACTACTTTTAGAACGCAAAAATCTTAGCCTTCATTAGACTGGCAGCCAAACAAATTCTCTGGTAATTGTGAAGAAAACTTAATATGCTAGGCAATTCAGGAGAACAGTACATGTAAAATGTAAGGAGAGACATACTCAGGAGGATTAGAACAGGAGCTGCAAGCAACTTCTCACTTGGTCCTTCTCACTTACAAGCTTTGGCCAACAATTAACCTGTCACAGTTTTGATTAAAAAAAGATGGGGAAATGGAAATAATACTTATACTGCTCCCAAGTAGATTTCAGATCTATAAAGCACTAAGTCAAGTGCAACATAATTATTATTCATCATTAATTACCTTGTAATATTTTGTTCCAGATTCATTTTGAAATAGCGTGAGGCATTTGCTGTCCAGTCTCCAATAATGTCTTTTTCTCTACAAAATGCACAGTATAATAACGTAAGGAATAAATCACTGGCATGGCTTTTGTTATCTGATTATTTAAATGAGAAATGCTTTAAATGACTAAGATAATCAACTAACATTAATCTACAGTTGCATCTTAGACTATGTACATGAAAATATATACTTTGGGAATAAAGATTTTTTTAAACTCAAGAAGAGGCTCAAAATTATTTCCACGAACCAGAAAAAAATATCACTTACCTTACAGTAATAGCAGTGACAACAGCAGTTATCTTGTACAGGAAAAACACTTACCTACACAGGTTTCACTCCAGGTGCATGTGCTCACAAAACCTGAATTATTTTAATTTAGTAACAATTGTAGGAGTCACGCTTTCTCCCTCTGTGCCCTCACACCAACATTGCAAGGGTTCAAAGACTGAGCAAGCCTAACAAGTCCTTAATTCTTTTGTCAACACAGAATTCTAAAAGGCCAAAAGTGCACAGTGGCAAGACAGACAGATTATGAGCTTCAAGTGGACAAAATATCTTGGGGAAAAAAGAAAGTAAAAATCAAGAAAGACTAAATAGCCATTTTCTGGAAGTCTCTACCAATGAGAAATACTGTCTCCACCGAAAAGTAATAGGAATAAGCTGGTGCACATAACTGTCTTGTATTTAAGCAGAGGAACATTCCTCAAAACAAAGCTTTTAGAAAGCTAATATGGCTGTATGAATCTAACTTACTTTGCTTGCACCATGCTCATATAGTTAGAAACCCATTTTCATTTTCCTGTGACAAAAATCCAAGACCCTTAACTCTGGCCTAGGATGACACTAGTTTGAAACATAATACAGCAGAGCTTAAATCACTTCAATCATGGGGAAGCTAAGACTACCTTTAGGAGTTAGACAAAGAAAGCTAGGACATGAATGGATTTAACTAAATGGAATTCCCAGCCAGCACTGAATGGAAACTGCGTGAAAGCGTAAAGGTGAACCTGTCCCTTGGACATATATGCTCTTTGTTAAATCATGAATCAGGGAAGGCTTCAGAGGGGGGAGTTAAGGAACAGGTTGGTAACTCACTCAGGGATTCAAAATCTGCCCATACCGTATTCTGAGAAAGGATGGGCTCAGAGTGAGGAAAAGAATACAGACGATGATACAGAAACTTCTCATAAGAAAGGGTGAAATATCTTGTTATCCAGGGTCAGCAAGAAGTATACAGATATTGCTGTTAAAATGAACTTCTTTGGAACTGATAGAAAGTCCAAGTTGTTTCAGGAATAGGAAATAGTCTGACATTGCTGAGAGCAGAGCGGTCAAGGGAAATAGCCTATGGTCTCCTCCCATTAGGAAGCTCTATGAGATCTTGTTTGGCTGAATGCATCTTGCTTTGGGACAGAATACTCCACTTCATTTGAATGGCTGTTTTCGGTAGATGTCATCCAGGTAGCAGCCAGACTGACAGATGAAAAAAATCAAACTAAGCTAAGGTGTACAATTTGATCACTGTTCTATGATGAGGTCCAAAAAAGTCCATGGAAAAATGTACTGGCTGTACTGAAAGATTAAATCGGAGCCGAATACCAGGCCTGCCCTGAACACTGCTGGAACTATTCATCTTCATCTACTACCTAGCCTTAGTTTTTCCATAGCCAGCTGATGATAATTGTGTCTGTTAAGTAGCCTTGGCTGGAATCTCATCTGAAATACGTTAGATACTTATTTTGGTTTGTGATAAATACATCTAGATATTAGAAAACTGTACTTTAAAGACATGTTTTGTAAGGCAGTCTCTGACAGACCACTTACAGTGGTCTGTCTAGTTGACAATCACAAAAAGTAAAAATACTACAGTAACCAGAGCTGACTAGTATCACCCCTCAGCTTGATTTCAACAGAACTTAAATAACTTTGCTCCTCTAAATTCCTGAAGTCCCCTTCAGTCAGCCTCCTGCATAGAGACAAAGAATGCAAAAGTATTTATGCTGCCTTTCATGAACAGTCTCAATATGACACACTGTGCTTCATGAGATCTGGGAACTTCTTCACTTCATCCTTTTCATTCATCTACCAAAAGACAAGAGGATTCACTCCCTCCCATCAGACAACTCTAAGGAACCCCATTATTCTTCCTTATCTTCCTCCCCAATACACAAAACCAAGGAGCTTGCCCAAGAAGGTTCAATTAAGAGATCATTATTGGTAGCACTGGAAACAAACAACATAGTCTTTTTGGAGGATGCTTGCATACCCAAGGGCATACAGTCAAGCCACAACTCTTTATTCCACTGACATCAAGAGGAATAGTGAGTTTGGGGGGGATGGTGTTCAGTAATGCTTACTTTTAGATAGCGTGAATTGCTAGAGGAATGAAGGGCTCCTATATCTACACATAAATCTTTACAAACACCAAGATCATTAGAATAATAGTATCAGCCATTTCAGTACTCATCATTTTATAATGATTTCCACCTTTTCGTGTAGTTGAATAAAAACACTGATACAAATATCTAGTTCAACTGCTAAACAGAAAGAAGACATACGCAAATTATTCCAAATTATTATCTCAGGAAAGCAGAAATCTTAAACATGCAATTTATTTGAGACAATTTAGATACTTCTCCTTCATAAAAGGGAGAAGGAAAAGTACTGTTCAATAACCACATGAAGAATTTTGAATAAACTACAGTTTCTCCTTTGCACCAGATTTCTTTATAATGAACATCATGGCTAAGTTCTTTCAAATGATACTGTAATTCAGAATGCCTAAATAAGAGAAATAAAATACACTGGTTTAGAGAAATAATTTAACTTAATGTAGGAAGAAACTAAAGTCACTGACCAGATTGTCTCTACTAGTATAGTGGACCATCCATCCTTCCTTCACCATTGTACTGCTCTTCCTCTTTGTGTGCTTGATCGACTGTACAACTCTCATGAGAGGAATATTATTGCTTGTTGAAGGACTAAAAAAAAAAAAAAAGAAGAAACAGTTAACATTTAATTCACTCCCTCCCATCAGACAACTCTAAGGAACCCCATTATTCTTCCTTATCTTCCTCCCCAATACACAAAACCAAGGAGCTTGCCCAAGAAGGTTCAATTAAGAGATCATTATTGGTAGCACTGGAAACAAACAACATAGTCTTTTTGGAGGATGCTTGCATACCCAAGGGCATACAGTCAAGCCACAACTCTTTATTCCACTGACATCAAGAGGAATAGTGAGTTTGGGGGGGATGGTGTTCAGTAATGCTTACTTTTAGATAGCGTGAATTGCTAGAGGAATGAAGGGCTCCTATATCTACACATAAATCTTTACAAACACCAAGATCATTAGAATAATAGTATCAGCCATTTCAGTACTCATCATTTTATAATGATTTCCACCTTTTCGTGTAGTTGAATAAAAACACTGATACAAATATCTAGTTCAACTGCTAAACAGAAAGAAGACATACGCAAATTATTCCAAATTATTATCTCAGGAAAGCAGAAATCTTAAACATGCAATTTATTTGAGACAATTTAGATACTTCTCCTTCATAAAAGGGAGAAGGAAAAGTACTGTTCAATAACCACATGAAGAATTTTGAATAAACTACAGTTTCTCCTTTGCACCAGATTTCTTTATAATGAACATCATGGCTAAGTTCTTTCAAATGATACTGTAATTCAGAATGCCTAAATAAGAGAAATAAAATACACTGGTTTAGAGAAATAATTTAACTTAATGTAGGAAGAAACTAAAGTCACTGACCAGATTGTCTCTACTAGTATAGTGGACCATCCATCCTTCCTTCACCATTGTACTGCTCTTCCTCTTTGTGTGCTTTGATCGACTGACAACTCTCATGAGAGGAATATTATTGCTTGTTGAAGGACTAAAAAAAAAAAAGATAGAACAGTTAACATTTAACAAGTTAAAATACAACAGTACTGCAATTATACTGGTACTACACATTTAGCCCCTAATTTTCAGGAACAGGCACCTTTTCTTCCCATACAAATTATTTCATTGATAGATTAAATTGATAAGGTATCTGTGGTCCCCCTACCTCTCCTAGTGCAAGTATTGCAGTAATTAAATTACTCTATGGAACACAGAAGAAACACACTGGAATGAGAACACCTACAGAAATCATCCTCTCTCAGAACAATTAGCCGAGACTGCTGGTCTTAATCCAGCATAAAAATATAATTAACATCAGCACCGCTATTGTTTTCTCTTGTCTGTGTAAGTTGACTATGCTACTTCTTCATATTGTTATTACACTAAAAGGACCCTATGTAAGCATACTTTCAACTTATGAAAATATCAACAGGGATGTGTTAATTCAAATCACGGCTGCACTAGGAAATTTTATCAAATGTTCAGGGATATTAACTGTCCTGCAGAAAAAGATTTGACTATCTGTAACATTCTGACAGAATCATTAGTTAAACATACAGGTTTGAATAGCGCTGAAGATGGAGTGAACTGTTAAGTTGCCTGCTTAACATCAGAGCTCCTACATGTGGCTCTGACAGAAATGTTTGTAAACACATGAAAGCACATGGCAGATTCAAAACCAAAAATGTAAGGATGCTTTAACACAGCACACAGTTACACTGCAGAATTGGCTGCCACAGGATGCTGTACATGCCAAAATCTTTAATTGCTTCAAATGCAATTAGAAATAAATGGAAAAATCCTACCTAGAGGTGGAACACAAAAAAGATGCTATTTCCAACTCAGGAAGTCCTTGAGCTATAAATCACTGAAAATTGAGAAGGTATCACTATATGCTCTTCCTCACATATTTGGTATTAAGCACTGAGCTAAAATGACCTTTGATTTGACCTAATACAACTGCTCTTACGTTATTAAGAATGACTTAAGAAAATCAGGATGACACTATTCAGAATAATACAGAAAGTAAAAATACTAAACTTGATTAAAGGAACTATGTAACACTTATTGGATAGAAGACTTCAGAAAAATCACATTCAAGTTATATAAATCAAACTTCTGCCTAAAATGTGTATAAACTGCGATGTGAACATTAAAGTATCTTGAGTAATTCCTTTTAAATCAACACATGTATAACAGTAACTAAATTAGGCTGAAGTCACAAAGATCTTAGTCATGTCTTAGCCATGTTAAGTTAAGCCATAAATTTTACCATGTTTTGATAATCTGGCTTTATTTCTTTGATAACAAACAGTCATAGCACAGCACTTTTTCCAATTAGAAGAGACTATATTATTTTAATTTATTTATGTTTCAGATTTGCTTGGGACAGGATAAACTTTACAAAGCAATTTCAAGTTAAAAAAGAACACAAATGAAAAAACGACACTTCAAGCAGTAAAACTGGGCTAAATCAGAAGTGTTTTACTCAACGTTTTACTTCAAAATATTGAGGAAAGTACATCCAGAGCAAAAGAAATCCACCTTATTATTTACCTGATGGTTTTGACAGCTTCCTCATCTTTGTCTGCATCAAGGTCAGATGGATCCATAAAGAAGATTTTGTCCTCTGGAGGAGAGGGCTCTTCAGCATCATCTAGACCCCGACTACCATCACTGTTCATTTCACTGCTATCAACTTCCATTGGCATGTCCAAGTCCTGGCCTGGGCTAGCAGGTTCTGGAAACAACACAGGATTAGGATAATATTTCAAATACACAATTAAAAAAAAAAAAAAAAAAACACAAAAAACTCCACAAAATTTCTTCTTCAGTTCGTATTTATGCAAGTAAACATAAAAGTACAATCAGAAAATACAAAATCCTCAAGTTTTTGCCAAATGGTGCAGTGTGCTAATGAACATTATCAATTTGGTTTTGCTAAATGCCAAAGCAAGAGAGACCCAGCCAAAACAAGAATCATATGGAAAGAAACAGAGTGACAAGCTTAAGGTCTAAACCTAAATCTCACTGAGTAATTCTGTTCCACAAGTAGTAAGTACAAAGTAACCTTTTGATGGCTAAAGATGACCCAGAGAATGATTCCTGTGCAAATGAAATTGTCCGTCAACAGAAACCCAACTCCGTTCTCGCTGCCCTTGTAGCCCACAATAGCAAAAGTAAGAGAAAAAGAGGGGGCTGTGGTATTGCGGGAAAAGAGAAAAGCAGAACAGGTCTTATTCACATCTGACTCTCTACTGGCAGAAGTTTAAAGTTTCCAAAAGCTGTACAGCTTGCACTGTGGAAAGCTTAAGAATTAAGACATACAAATACCTTCCTCTGTAGCCTTTTTTCTTTTTTTTTTTTTTCCCCTGGTCTGAGGAGACTTCAATTTAAAGGTGGGAGAAAGAACAAAAAAATAAACAACTCTTCAAGTCCACAGAAGAACTGTCTGAAACTGTAGTTCCCAAACTGCATGCTCTAGCACCTTAGCATCACAAAGGTGGTGAAAACAGGCTGCAGCAACAACACGTTGCACATTATTGTTCACGGCCACCAATCTCAAGACTCAGGCAAGAGCCTTAGAGCTAGAGAAGGCAGGCATGAATGGATGGGATACGTTGTGCAATGGCAATGGACCCACTGGCTAACAGAGCTGCTGCCCAGGCCTCTGTACCAGGTTGTGGTTTGGTGTGATCTGCTGCATGTCATCAATTTTATTCCCCTCAAAAATATGCATGCCAAGGATCAAGATTTTGGGCAACACAATCACAGAACGGTTGAAGCTGGAGGGGACCTCTGGAGGTCATCTGGTCCAACAACCCCCATAAGCCCATTTCTCCAGCCTGTCGAAGCCCCCCTGGATGGTAGCACAACCCTCTGGCGTATCAGCCAGTCCTCACAGTCATTGGCAAACTTGCTGAGGGTACACTCTGCCCCATGATCCAAATCATTAATGAAGATGTTGAACAGGATTGGACCCAGTATTGGCCCCTGGGGTACACCACTAGTTACCAGCCTCCAACTAGGCTTCATGCCACTGATCACCACCCTCTAGGCCCATCCATTCAACCAGCTTTCAATCCACCTCACTGTCTGCTCACCCCCCCATATTTCATCAGCTTAACACTGGTCTAAAAGTTTTAGGAGTAAGACTCTCAACTTTCTGCCACATACCGTTTCTCACCTTCTCCATTCAACTCTGTAAGGTCTATTCAGAAAATAGTCCTACTTAACTGAGGTTTCAAAAAATTAGAGTGGGGTTGTTTGGTTTGGTTTGGCTTGGCTTGGTTTTTTCCTTTCTCTTTTACCTCACAAACTGCTGGGCTAGCTCTGGCCACTAAAAATTACGGATATGAGAAAGTCACAAAAAATGGTACTTGTCTTCAGTTATTAACATTTAGAAATATATATTTCATGGTGAACAATAAGCAGACTGATCACAACAGATGTTTAATTTTTGTACATTGAGAAGGCTTCTTGATTTTTTATTTTCCTTGAGCAATCTCAAGCAAAGCATACTGTACTTGCCAAGACTAATTAAGTAAAATTGAAGTCACCAGAATATAAATTTTACAGTGAATCTTTTTAATTGTCAGTGATCTCAGGTGAAAAAAAATGGTAGGATAAAACAAAAAAGATGTAAAATACTCAAAGACGAGGGAACCAAAAGCTAATGCATCTTGTTAAGCCTCCAAAAATCTGTCAGTATTTGAAAGCACGTTTCTCATCTTACCTCCATTGAAAATCACCTCTCCAAGACAGTCTCTAGGTACTTTAGATGCACAGCGTTTATGACAATTGAATCTGCAATCTAAAATAGAAGATAAATAAGCCCATGATACCAGAATCTTACTCCTGCTCAGACACTAACATTCCATCATTCACTACTTCCATCACAAGCTTCAGTTCAGATTCATACATTTGCATGTAACTGAAGAAGCACCAATGAGGTCACCTCCAGAAGGAAATTAACAATCTTGTCTTGATGTCACATGTTGATTTGCCCCACTACTATTTATTATGTCAGCACTTCCCCTTCCAGTACAAAACAGTTTTCTACTTCTCTAGCTTTCTCTGTAGGTATTTTTTCCATTATGATGTTATTTTTCCCATCCTCTCATCTGTTCCACACCCTTTTTTTCCATTGCTATATGATTTCAATGTCTCATCTCTATCATTTTTCCCCACCTGCTGCCTGAGACTTGCAGCCATCAGAGCCGCTAGGATCACACACCTATATCACAGAACAAATATGCTCTGCAGTAAATCCCAAAGCCCAGTTCCCCTATCAGCTTACAGATTTGGCTGAACACTGAAGCTCCATTTCTGCCTGCTGACACAGGGCAGACAGAATAACGTTATGTCCAGATTTGGCCTGACACGGAGATGGAATCTAACCTGGATGTGTGCCATTTCTGCATCTGAGGTATCAGATGCAGCCTACTGAACAAAGTCCAGCATACAATATTAGTGGTATTAACAAGAATTTCCTTTCTTAGCACCATTGCTGTAATTTTCAACTTTGTATCAACATCATGAATTTCAAAACTCCCTACTGCCCCCACAACTGTTTTCAAACTGATTAATTTAGCCGCTTTCTGCTATCCAAAGAAAGCTCACTGTGTCTTCCTTTTAAGCCTAGACAAGAGAAAAATCATTATCTCCCCATTTTTAGTAGCAGAGAAGCCAAACCCTGGAGCAAAATACAATCCTGTTCAGCTTCTGAGTGCCTACAAGGAAGCATCCTAGGAGACCAATGAACTGTCCTTTTTCTATAGCAGTGTTTTCAGTCCGTATTATGGAATATGGTTACTTCACTAGTTTGAAGGGGGCTGGAAGAAACAGACATTTCAAATCCTACCAGGGAACTTACAAAGACTAAGAGGGAGCCAATCCTAATAAATTAAATTACGTCCAGAAACATTCTTGGGTACTGCAATGCAACTCTCTAGTCTAATAAACAGTTAGAAACATCCCCTAGCATGCTTTTGGCCCACAGCATTAGCACAATCCCAAACAGTTGACACATCTAGTTCATAAATCAGAGGATCCCATGAAATTCTCCCACCAGGCAGTCTGCATACAGCTACCCAGGCTGGGATGCTAAGAAAACCTGTTCATGAGCATGGGTCATTTTGTCCCAGTTGACCTCAGTGTCCAGGAATGTTCCTGGGCACGTTTAATTTATTCCCACAAATATAGCCTTAGCATCCCAAAGATCATCCTCAGAGTCCAAGTAGAAGCCTGGATGAATTCAAGAAATCCAGGGCTGTTACAGGTACTCAGGAACATGGGACTGCTGAAAGACCCCAAGCTTTGGGAATGTGCACAAGGAAGTCGGTGGGAAACCTTAAGAATCTGTAAGAGAAAGCAGTATGAAAACATTTTGATTGTTTGATATCAATTCCTGACATATTAAAAATACATATAGGATCATACTGCATAAATGGAGGCCTATTAATACACTTATTTCTGTCCTGTGCTTATACATAACATTTCTCTAGGCTTGTTTTCCATACATAAATGCTATTTTTATCCAGTGTCATTCACTTTCCTGAAACTGATGTGGTAGCCCCATTTGTTCAGCTGGATATACAGTCACAACAACTGTATACAATCAGTAGCATCTGTAAGTTAAAACTGCAAAGCATTTTTTTCAGGCTTCATTATTTAGGTATTACATGTATCCAAGAGACACACTGACTGAAAAAAAAAAATCAAAAACAGTTCAGGATGCAGACTTCAAACAGACTACAAAGACTGCAAATTAATAAAAACAGAAACGAAAGATAAAGCTACTTCCTTACTTGTATGAGACAGCAGTATTTTTAGTCGAAAGAAATAACACAGCTGTAAGCTTACAATTTTTGCTCTCTTCTTCTAAAGGAAACTGAAAATGTATTAAGTGACCTCTTTCAAAATGTTGACCTTTGGTACTCATGTTTGACAAACTCATATAAGTCCTTTCCATATTAATGTTTAGGATTCATCACTACAGTTTTCTTTCCTGCAACAAAGCTGACAGATCTGCACTATCCAGCAATAAAGAGCCAGAAGAAGATCAGAATGTCATAGTTACGCCCTCGGAACTGCATAAAAGAGTCTGAGAACTGAAGTCATGCATCTTAACATAATGCTAAATAAAAACCACGCAGCTGATGAAGCCTAAGCTAGTTCAGGAAAGGCACCTACCTGTATAAAGTTTTTCCAGAAGATAATAACCAGTATTCTGTACTAGAGTAATATAATGAAAACTTAGAAATTCTTTAGTGGTGAGTCTAGAAGACAGACATTGAACAAAGGGAAGTTATTTCCCATTTTTATTAATTTAGAATTATCTTTCTAGAATCAAGGTGTTCCCAATCTACATGTGATTAAATCTTATTTTTCAGAAAAATGTACAATGCACAGTCTACTAAAATGAAAACGAGGGCTGCTGTAATCCTCTCAAAAATATGCAATTTTTCAAAAATTATACTGCCCCATTTCGCAGCATACAACCTTCTGGCAATCAAAACATAAGTTGAAATCGGTTTTAAATACAAGACCTTTACTGAAATTTATCGCTGCGGCAGAAAATTAAATGTTTACCTTTACACTGCATTCCTTGGCGGAAAAGGCCCTTGAGCAGCCGTTTGCAATACTGGCATATGGTGGGACGAGTGTAAGAGTGAACAGCAAAGGTGTGCGGAACCTTCACCCTGCAAAGCACCATCTTTTCCATCCAGATGGGACGGCCACTCCAGGAGGGAATCCTCTTACTAGGTTCTGGGCAGCAGCGCTGGAATAAAGAAGTTATACGTGATTTGCACCAAAACAGTTCTACTTTTGGGGGGGGCGGGGAGGGGCAGGGAAAACATCAGTGGAGCTGGGAGGGAGGTGTTGGCTCAGAAAGCGACCGGATAAGAAAGCAACCTGGCCAAGAAGCTTTAAGAGGACATTCTGATATCATAAAACAAAAGCAAGAAAACACCAGATGGAAAATCCTTGCAGAGAGCAGGAAAGTATGTATGAATCTTTATTTCCACAGAAGCTGAAATGCTAAAAATTCATTTTTATGACTTTTTTTTTTTTTTAAGCAACCTGGCAAGGTTCACAGACAGCACATACAGATTCCCATGTAGGGGATAAAATGGAAAACACTGGAGGTAGACAAACCAAAATCCAATCGCTACCTCAAGCTATCAGTTTTAAAAAGCAAAGTATGGCATGCCTGGATAGCTTACTAAGTTAGGCAAAATATTTAGAAAATTAAAAAATAATTTTGGAAATTAAACCCCCCAAGAAATCTTCGAAATTAAGTTAAAACAAAAACTTCAGCAATTAAAACAAAAAAAAGGCACTGAGTGTCATACTGAACATTAAGCAGTATAAATTTAGTTACCTACATCTACAGAAAAATGTAAAGGAACATGGCCCTGTACATCTGACCTAAAGCATTTTAAGACTGCTGAAAGATGAATCGCAAATACGATAATATATTACTCATCATCTAAGCCAAGTATTCAAAATCGGATAGCAAAGAAGAGGTGCAAAGAGGTACTAAACACGCATTGTAGAAATCACAAAGTTAAATTCCATGTGAGGAGAAACGTTTACCACTTACAATTCTATGTTCACTGAATAAATCTTACCAATAGTTATAAACATTAGAATAAATGTTTTTCATGACTCAAGACTAGGCTTCATAGCTTCTAGCTAAAAAAATTATGTTCTTGAACTACAAAATCTATACAATTTATATTTTAAACTATGGTAAGAATGTAAGAATTGTTATACTGTAAAGTAATAGAATTAGATAAGTAGGAAAGACCAAGTGTCAAAAGCACTGCTTTTATGCCACGGTGAAAGCAGCAATGAAACAAATGGATCTAATCGCTGCCTGACCTATCTTAACATCCCAATATAGTTGCAGTATAATGGATAACCTCTCAGCAATCATCATAACCATTATAAAAAAAGAACTATTATGGATGACGGTTTTTACTGTAAGCCCTTCATCCCCTACACCCTCCTTGATAGGGCTTGGGTTTTTTTAGATTAACTCTGTGAAAAGCTCAACAGCATATCAGGAACACTCTTTCCTCTCCCAGCACAAAAGCTTACAATTTGTACTGCTTTAGCCAAGCAACTATTCTACATTGATACCATAATTACAGAATGAATCTGTATTACAAAGAAGGCAAGGTGTTCTATCATTCCTGAAACCAAAGTTCTCGGAGTTCATATAACCGTGAGTGACAGGCTAACAACAAAATTATACATAAAAGTTATAATTTACTTCCTGTTTCATTTCTCACAGTAATAATAGTTATCAGTAAGTGTCACAGTCTAAGACTCACCAGATTTAAAAATGAACTAAAACCAATCATAATGGTTAAGCTCAACTCCCTCATACTCAGTATGAGCCACCTGCAACACTAGCTAGTTTCCCAGAGGTTAAAGGATTTAAAACCAGAAATTGTTTCCCCTTCCACATTACATACTTCTTCAGAGGCAGAGGATGTGTATTCAGCTTGTGCTGGTCTTGGAACTGAAAGCCCTGCTCCTGGTAAAGACACATTAGACAGACGCCTCTTTCTCACTCCACTGCAGTTATTTGGAATCTTGAAGGCACATCGCTTATGGTAGTTTAACCCACAACCTGAAAGAGAAGGTTTTTTAGACAAAAAAACCTCTCAACATTCCAAGTAACAAAAATAGTACTAATATTTTGATAAAGCAGTTAAAAAGATGATCCAGGAAAATGGTAAAGGCAGAAATAGATTGTTCTGTTAAATTCTCTTCTTTCAGCGTTCCTGATGCGATCCACAGAAACAGCTTTTTTTGCACTACTTGCTATAATACTGGTCTCTAGTAAGCCCACCTCTAGAAACAAGGTCTAAGACTCCAAAGCAGCTGATCGCCCTCCTCACTTCTCCCCCCACCAGGAGGCTTTCATCACTCCCTCACTTTGGATCACAAGAGCCAAGGAGAAGCCAGTGAGCAAGCAGTCAATACCTGACAGCAGGCTGCAGAGTGCTCCGCAGCCAGCTGGATGAAGGCCATAAGGAAAGGGATTCCCCTTCGGGAGTCTCTGCAAAGTATGTGCTCCTTGTGCAAAGAACACACGCTTGTAAGCTAGCTATTTTTTTCAAAGTGGGAAACAAGAACACTTCTTAAGCCATTTGCCCAAGGTCACACAGTTTGCGTTAAAGCCGGTATCAGAACTCAGGTTTCCTGATGCACAACCCCTTCTAAATACTACATTTATCACATGCTAACATATCAAACAAGATACAATTTCTTCTTCCTCATCTTATATAGATATACACACACAAAAATACAGTAAAAAAAAAAAATCAGACTTACCTTCACATTTTAATCCTTGTCGTACCAAACCCCAAAGCATCTCTCCACAGTAGTCACAAAAAGTAGGAGCCTTGTAGGAATGCACATAAAGTGCATGAGGACGAATCTGGAAATCTTCAACTGTAGCCAAAGCTTTTAAAAAATTGCAGTAAGTTACGGTTCTTGCCACAGGATCAACAAGGATTTATGGAAAGACTATGTTGTTTTAAAAATGGCAGATTCAGAGAACATTAATTAGCTGTTTAGACATCAGCATTTTACTGTATACCATTTAAATATGTATTTAGAAGATACATAGTTTTCAGTAAGCTTTTTTATTGAGGAAAAAATCCGTTGGATTCTGTAGGCTAATGGCCACAACTAGTCAACAGTATGAGACACAATGTTGAAAACCTTAATAAGTTGAGAAGGCAAATACAACAAGCTTTGCTAAAATCAACTTAACAGTAAACATTTTAAAGAGCAACTTAATTTTCAAGCTGCTTTGTAACCTACAAAATTTTCAAGCAAAGGACAGTTCTACATGTTAGATTTTTTAACTCTTAAAGGACTTTTTCAGAAAAAGTTTATTAGATTGAACTCTGTGTGTATTAAAACAGAACTGTGGATAGAGTTTCCATGGAACACTGGAAACTTCACAAGTAATATCCTTTTTCTTAAACAAGCATAGATATATTTAAATGAATTTTTGTCTTGTTTCTTTGGAATGTTAAAAAAAAAAAAGAGGTATTTTACATCAACACTACCTTGCCCTGATGGCTACTATTCTTTGATCAAATATGTACTAACGCTTCATATTTGAATTCACATGTCTCAGTTTTAAAATCCTAGTGAAAGAGATTTACATGTCTTCAAAATGCCTCAGTTTCTGGTGGTTTGTCTGTTTATAAGGAAACTGTCAGAGATTGTCAAGAGGCGGCACACAAGACAAGTTTTCCAAATACGCCATTCACCAGAAGCAATGAAAAGCTCAAACCAAGATGATCAACTACTGAATATCCTAGACGTGCCTAGAACAGTAGGTCCTGAAATGCAGACAAGGAACTGAGCCTTATGACTCTGGAAATCATACTTCATTGATCCAATTTACAAATCTAATCCCATGACAGCCAAGAGATCTCTCTTTCTAGAACGTAACCTCAGTTGGGCACTTAGTCCTCAAAAGTCTGAAAGAACCACTCGATACTAGTCCAGCTTTTATCTGTAGTTTAACTACAGCTGGCTTTTGGTTGAATTCGACAGGGTATCGATGAACCACATACAAGTCGAATCAGTTAGGGTTCGGGGGTTTTTTTGTCCTCGTTATTGAAGAGTACTACAGGTTAATAACCACCACTCTAAGGACTTTATCGTTTAAAAGCAACTGTTTTCAAACACTGCAATAACCCTTAAGACTCTGTCCTTACAGGTATGATTCAGCAGCTACGTTTATATGAAGTCTTTTAGCAGAATAAACCATCAATGGCAAAAGCTACAGAACAAAGAGACAGATGTAAGCAAAAGAAAGCCAACAACAGGGTTGGAAGAGCAAATCCTGAATCCTACCTGCATTTCAGCTTCAAAAATTATAATAATAAACTTATTATAATTATAAATTCATATTCTTATAATTCAGATTTATTTATAATAATAAACCTGAAGATTAAAACATGACAACGAAACAATAAGAAAACGCAGTACTGAAATATCAGTACCACTTGGATTTTCTTGGAAACCTCTACCCAAAAACAGTGACCCAGTGTGAGACTTAAGTCAAAGAGCTCAAGGCAAGCATGATAATAATGTTCCATAAAGTCCTATTTTCTTTTAATCTACTGAATAAAGTGCTGTTCCACTGTTACAATACCTACCAGAGAGTACAACCTCAACAAGATCTCCCTCATGTATCTCTTCTGCTGATGTAATCCGTTGCAAAATATTATCTGAGTTCAGGTCATGACGGAAGAGGAGAATTTTGTCATACATGCCAAAGAAACCACACTCTGGGAACTGCAATAGAAAGCAAACTCTAAATTAACACATGCTCTTTGATAATCTTATCCATAAATGTTTTTAATAACATTTTAATAACATTGCGTGTTTTGAGTGTTCCATGGAAACAAAATTGATCTGTTTATTTTTGAGGAACTGAAGCATCTTCTGAACTGAAATGTAGCATAAAAAGGTAAAAAAAAACCAAAACAAAAAAATCAATACCAACTTCTTCCCTGTTCCCCCCACCAACAGTGACACTTTTTTTTCAAATCTAAAAAGAAAAAATGTTAGCGTTTTTGTTTCTTTGGGTTTTCAATCTCTCAGACCTGCATAATCAGTCTGGCGCCTGAAACCCAATGCAGATCTTTCTAACTCGGATACCATCACCCGTAACCCTTATTTCACAGACATTCTGGTCAGGCAGGTATTCAGCTCAAGACACTCCAGCAGCACCTGCCACGCTTTTCTTGAGGGGCAAGCCAAGAGAGGCTCTATGTTGTTCTACAACAGTTTAGGTCTGCAGATGCAAGAAAAGGAAAACTCGATTCCTGCCAAGGACAGAAGATAATATTGCAAATCCATATAGGGAATAGATACACTAAGTAACACGCCATTTTTCCATGACACTTCACTGAAAACAGCTTTCTTATTCTATATTTTCCCCACTCCTCAAAATATTGTCAAGTGTTAGTAAAACTTCTTAAAATGAAAAGCTTAAAAGTAAACAGACAATTCACAGAGAAAGAGAGCAGGAATAGACCCTGAAGAGGAATGAGTACCACTCAACCAGTTCCTTTGGCCTTTTTGTTTAAATCAGAATTCAAACTCGAGGTGGGAACAAACACACAGAAGTGCTCCACAGAAGAAAACAGGAAGAATGTGGGAAAAAATGTGGAAAAGCACACAACGAACTTTCAATTAATTAGGTAACAGACTACAGTTTGGTAATTTAGATCTTGCACGGTCAATAAGTAACAGGGTCTAAACTGCATGAAGCTTGTGGTATATTAATTGTCCTTAACTAAAGTAGTCAAAGACTTTTTTCCACCAAATCAAAGACACAATGAAGGTATCTGTCACGTCCATTGTTTTCACACTGCCTTCCCATTCAGAGAGAGAATAATTTCCTCTTCCTGGTAGCAATTTTATCCAAAAATATTAAGTTGGCCTTCTCTGTTTTGGTGTGCACACCCTACACATTTACGTTACAAATAATACTGAAGAATCCCCATGCTCTGGAAAGCATATTATCTACTGGGACAGTCACAAAGAGAGGCAGATTTTGTGCCATTTAACCCATGCAAAGACAAAAGATGGACCTGACAAAATTATACAGACACCAGGAGATATTTAATCCACAGCACCAAGAAACTGAGTTACTGGGCTGATGCCAAACCAGCAGGCTGCTTCCTCTGTCTCCCAACCCACTCTTAGGTTCCCTACGTAAATTTGATACTCTCTTGTACTCTGTACAGTAGCCATGATGGTACAGATATGACAGAGGCATTATATTCCCCTAAAACAGATGTTTCAAAAAACTTTAAACAATAAAATGCTATTGCTTAAAATCCTTCAGGTCATCTGGAATTACCTTTAAGAACTCCTCTCTTTTCGTACTATATTTCAGCATACTCATCCGCTGATTCATCTTAATAAATAGCAAATATCCATTAATATTCTGAAAATTACATTTTTCCAATCTCCCAAAGATTATTTGTATTAGGAAAGGAAATAATAAGCTTGAGAATTAGCTGTGCTGCCCAAATATGTGTCTCAGTATATCTACAAGTATGCACAGGACTTGACTTTATATTCAGAGCATGTATGCATGTTAGTAATTCTTCCAAGGGAACTGACAGTTCTTCATACCTGAAACAGTGCATAAACCTGCTTTAAGCTCTAACTCAAAATTCCACTGTGCCTCAATTAACAAGAAAACAAGTTATATTTACATTTTTTGAGTAAGTGTTGTAAGGTTTTACTCCTTGATACTATATACACTGTTTAGCCAGGTATCACATCTTAATGCTAGTATCAACAAGAGAAAGCTACTACATCAATGCCACAATCAGTTGTATCCTCAAGACAACTTCTATTTCTAGCATATCAATTGCATCATGCTGCTGAAAAACTTAATTCCAACGAAAGGGAGAGAAAACCAACGTGAATATGGTATGTATCTGCCTGCAGATAAACGTGACACTTTTTATTAATTTCAGCTGCCAGGAGAGACAACTGATGATTCAGAAAATCAGTGTGAACTATTGCGTCTTTGTATTAAGTTCACAGAACCACCTATAAAACACAAATTTTAAGGAATCTCTAAGATATTTCACAGGTTTAAGTCTCCTTCTTTTGATATAGATATGTCTTTGTTTCTTTTTTTTTTTCATTCTTTGAGACCATAAACCTATCATGCAACTGCCAGAACATCCCTACACATAATCCCCCACCCCAGCAACCAAAGGTCACACAATCACATACCAAGAAGCACTTATTTTAAATGCTATGACCATGTGTTCTGCATGTGACACCATTTACCCATTCTCATGGGATTTATTAAAATGTTTTAAACATACCACATTAATTTTGGTGACTAAAAAGCATTAGCTGACACAATAAACAAAAGTTACAGATGAATACTCAAATCCTCTTTGTGACGGCAAGTGTAATCATGAAAAATACGAGACATTACATCCCTTAGAAAGCAGCATCAACATTAATTCCAAAGTTTGTAAATAACAGTATAATGCCTATAACTAAGATACTGTTTTCAAACAAATTCCAGACTTAAAGGCTAAATTAATTTCTATGGAATAAGAGTATCATTAAAAAAAAGCAAAGTCATCTATTATAGATTGTTAGAACTGTTGGCATCAACATCCTTGTTTGGTTCTATGCTAATTAAATTGACCTTTTAAGCTGTGTATCGTGTATGCTTATGATACTGTAGCTACATGTTTTACTGCCCTCTTCTCTCAAAACAAGTATACATACATATGGATGAAATGACTGTGAAAGGTTGTCTGTTTTTGTAACTGTAATATTTAACCTCATAAAAGATAACTCCTCTATTTACAAGCTTCAGCTTGATCAGTAGCTTCTAGACTAAGATGCAGAATCACAAGCCCAGGCCTAACAAGACTAACAATAATCTATGCTAGTATTTATTGCAAGAAGTCTATCACTAAACACAGACTCTGTATACAGTTTCTATAGATATCTATAGATATATACTATATATACACAGACTTCACCCAGGGCACATTCTTCTATGCATTGTGCATGCCTAATCTCCATTTCTGAAGCAATCATTCCAAAAACTAAAAGCGTTAGAATAAAGATAACCTGGTACTACAGAGTTGCAATTGCTACAGGTGTTCCTGAATCCACAACAGGGACACGCATAACTGAGGAACCTTGCAACAGCTCCCTTACCTATCCTGCCTATTAGGTTAGGTGCTTGCCTGCATGTCCACAAAGGAGCACAGAGGAACAACACAGGTGGGGCAGCCTACAACACCCCACCCGGCTCCTCCTAGGCCCATCACAGGAGCCATCAGCCCACCAAAGGCCCATCTCCACATGCCAGAGGAGCCCAGAGGCACAAGGGCAGGCAGGGAACCCAAATTAAGGACTCCAAGGAAAGGATACCCTGTCCAGGCCCCTCCCAGGGCTGTCACAGGAGAGCCTTAGCCCCAGTTTCCAGCCATAAAACCCATCAAGATAAGTCAACGCTAGAGCACCTTTTGAACTGAGAGGGGTTGCTGCCCAATGGTATGGGACACATTATAAGATGCCAGGGAATTACGATTGTACAAGACTTATTATGGGATGTTTATGGAAGGAACCAAAGGCAAGGAAAGAGGTGATTCAGGGAGGAACAAAAGTGGGGAAAAAAAAGAGGGATAAGAAGATAAAAAAGGCTGGTCACCTGTAAACAGGGACTGGTCAGAACAATTGTCTGGTCATGCTCTGTGCCTGATCAGCACCATCTGTCCTATCTTTTCATTAAATTCCATTTCTATCTATTTTCCTGGATGATGGGTTCTCATTCTGAGCACACGTGTGTGTATGGGGAGTCTGAGTGCCAGCAACTGGAGCCAGACCGCAGGTCAGAGCACCCATGTGTCTGTGGTGCCCAGCAACTGGAGAGACCAGAGTGAGTGAAATCAAGAGCTTGAATATCCAAGTGCCAGCAACCGCAAAGACCAAGATCCAGCAGCTACTACTGGGCTGAGAGTGCCTGAGCCCAGCTGCTGGAGACATCCACTTTCTTTTTTATTGTTGGTTTTTTGTTGGGTTTTTGTGCGTGTGTGCGCCCACTAACAGACCTTCATCCTGAACCACCAGAGAAGGGTACACTATGAGACCATTAGTGATGTTTGTGTTCATGTGAGTGCTCTGTGTGTCTGCCTGTGTCGATCTGTGTGTATACACGTATGTGTTGTACACCCATATCCAAGTGCTTGTGCCTACGGGGAATACGTGGTCAGTCTTGCTACTGGTTGGACCTGGGGCATGAAGCTGCAGCAGACTCACCTCTGCCAGGAGGCTGTTGGATTCAGTTGTCCCTAATAAAACTTTTCAAGTTTGATGAACAAGTCCTGTCCTTTCCTTGCACACCCCCCTGCAAAATTCCCGTTATAAAAAAAACAGACCCTAACACAAAGATGCCTCCCTCACCGCTCCTTTCCGCACACTTCAGCTCAGATCACTCTCCTCTGCCCCCACTACAGTCCTGTGCACCCAAGCAAGGGAAGCACTGGCTGGCTGCCCTCTGCATGGCCGGCCCTGACGAGCTGCAGGTGGCCCGTCAGAGCCCGTGTCTAAGGCACTTGGCCAGGCTTCGATGGGGGGAGCTGTGCAAGCAGCTTGGCTCCTTACAGACGTGCAGCGCCCTGCTCTCTCTTCCGCTCCCCAGTACGTTCGGGAATACAGCATTCCTTGCTAGCACCTTAGCCAGAAGGCTATGCGCAGACTGCTGGCCAAGAATAACCTCATCGATTAACAAG